AGTTTATTTATTTATTTATTTATTTATTTATTTATTTATTTATTTATTTTTGCTTTTGTGACCCCCCAGTTGGCCTGGAACTCACTATGTAGCCTACGCTGACTTGGATTTCGTAGAGATCTCCCTGCCTCTGCCTCCCAAGTGCTGAGATTAAAGGCGTGCACCATCACTCTTGACTTAGTTTATGCTTTTTTTATGCTACACTACAGGATAGAGATCCAACTATTGTTAACGGTATGTTTGACACACGCTGTTTACATTTTAACCACACACTCAGCCAGAAAGGGACATCAGATAGCCCTCAGTTTTGGGAACAGTGCTGCAATGAACTTCTTTTTTTTTAAAAAAATTATTTATTATTTTAATTTTATGTGTATGAGTGTATTGCTTGCATGTACTTAAGCATACCCATGTTGTGCAATGCCCATGGAAGTCAGAGGAGGGCATCAGATCCCCTGGAACTGGAGATATGGATGGTTGTTAGTCCACATGTGGATGCTGGGAATTGAACCTGGGTCCTCTGCAAGAACAGCCCGTGCTCTTAAGTGCTGAGCCATCTCTCCAGTCCCTGCAATGACCATCTCACACAGTGAGAACCCCTATGCCTCACCACTTGCTGGACACATGGCATGCAGCATACATTGGATTTCATTTGCCAGGGTTGTGAGTGTCCAGAAGTTTCTCTGGTCTCAGGACTTTTGTATACACAGATGTCAGTCTAGCATAGTCATCTCCTGAGCTCATAAAGCCTTTCTGCTATCCCAATCTTGTAGTAATCCCTGCAATTCTCTCTCCAGGTTTCTCTCTCTCATTTTTATTTAGGCTTATTGCATCATAGTACTTTTCACACTTTGAAATGACCAGTTATCACCTATTTTTTTTTTTTAATCCCTTTTCTCTCCACAAGAGCAGTGGATGCTGTCCTGTCCTGTCAATAAGCATCTAGCACAGCTCTAGCATATGGTAGGCTGGCAACAATCGCTGAATATTTGAATGAAGTGTGAATACATAGTGTTATGATATCCATGTGTTTAAATCTCTACAGTTAGAAAACATAGTGGGAAGACAGGTAGCGAAGGCTCTCGGAGAGGGGCGTGGTGGCGCATGCCTTTAGTCCCAGCATTTGAGAAGCAGAGACAGGCGGATCTCTGTGAGTTCGAGGCCAGCTGGGGCTTACAGGGAGACCCTGGAGAGAGAGAGGGAGGGAAGGAGGGAAGGACGGAGGGAGGGAGGGAGGGAGGGACGGAGGGAGAGAGGGAGGGAGGGAGGGAGGGAGGGAGGCTCTTGGAGAGACCTAATGCTGAGTAGGGGAGGTACATGGTTGTAATCACAGCATTGAGGGATGCTGAGGCAGACTGAGTTCCAGGGCAGCCTTGGCTATAGAGTGAGACTCTGACTCAAAACAACAATAACACCCCCCACCCCTAAACCAAAATCAAGCCCCAATGTGAGGCGGGCAGCCAGCAGAGGGCGCTCGGTGCACGCACACTGGGAAAGTGAAACTACATTTCCCAGCACCCCCTGCGCCTCCATCACATTTCCGGAATCCACCTGCAAGATGGCGGCTTCTGAGGCGTGTGATTCCCCGACAGAAGCGCCCCAGACTGCTGCGGAAGAGGAGGAAACGAAAACATTTAAAGATCTGGTGAGAATGGGTGATGCCGGCATCTGTTTTGTTCTGCAGGGGTTAGGCTCTCCCTGGGCCTGGGTACCTTGGGTCCCGGCCTGTGTAAACGCATCGGGGTCTAGACCCGGCTGTCTTCAGACCGTCAGAAAGTCCGGCT